CCAGGTGAAACCACAGAGAGCTCAGACTGTAGGTATCCTAGTCATAACTTGGCTGGTACTCTAATGCCATCCACTTTTCTGGAAGCCATTAATTACAAGGACCTAAATCTGATGTGTCATCTAACAGATCCAACCAGCATAAGCATACCAGATGGATGCAACAGCCAATATGTAGTGTCATATGAGCGCATATTCCCCGAGGCTCTCTACCTACTGACTAGTAAATAAACAAGCCATTAGAAAAGGAGCCACCTGAGATAAAATACTGGAGGTATTAAGAAAGAAAAAAGAAAAGATGAAGAAGAGAGGCATTAATGAAGTTCCTGTCTTCACTACAGGCAACTTACATAAGTCCTTGAATCAGAGAGCCTGACATACTTGTCCTGCATAATCACATTCTCACTAGTCTGTTTGAGAACAGTAAACTATTTGTCGCATCAGTTTCTTTTGTACAGGTTTGTGATTTCTAATACCTTAAACTCCTTTGAAAACAATGAAAATAAAACCTCAGCACTGAAAAATCTGACATGCAAATAACCCAGGGCTCATCTGAATGAGATTGATGGAGGCTGGCAAAGGGATCCTGGTTGTACCTGAGTTTTACAGCAAGATTTGCACTGACTGCTGATGGGCTACTTTATTGCCTGCTGTCATTAAAATTGCATTTTGAAAAGGCTTCTTATAGAGAACATGATACTAGAGACATGTCTTTAGGAGAGATAAGCATGGCCAACATCCATCCTATCCTATTTCCATTCAACTAGGGGGAGAAATGATTTTTAAAATGAACATTTTTTCCATCAGCTTCCTTTCTGTTTTATATAGTGAGGTGGAACAACTTAGCTATCAGTGTCTTGGAATTCTGCAGACCGCCGGGAAGATGCACGCTTGGGACATGCATAATGGAATGTGACTGGTCTCACCCCAGCTTAAGTCAGGAAATAGGACAACTGAAGTCAACAGTGCAAAATTTACTAGATTCAAAATATTAAAGGCAACATTATAGTTTGACACTGACATAGCTACCACAGAAGATAATCACTTCTGTTGAATAAACACTGAAAAGTACCATTTTTTGTATATAATTTTGCTTGGCCTTTGTAAAAGCATTTTTGACAAAAAACAGGCTACCCAGACTACATTTGGCCTAAGCCTTTAAGGCAACTGCACTTGCAACTCCAGAGGCACACCACATCCATTGGTCTCCCCTCATCTACAGAACTGGTCATCTCATCATAGAAGGAAATCAGGTTGGGCAGGCATGACTTGCTCATGGTGAATCCATGCCGACTGTTCTTAATCACCTTTTTCTCCTCCGACTGCTTAGAAATGAATTCCTTAAGGATCTGCTCCATGATTTTTCCAGGGACTGAAGTGAGGCTCATTGGTTTGCAGTTCTTTGGATCCTCCTTTTTCCCTTTCTTAAATATGGGCACTAAATTTGCCTGTTTTCAATCATCCAGGACCTCTCCTGATTGTCATGAGTTTTCAAATGTGATGGCCAATGTCTCTGCAATCACATCAGCCAACTCCCTCAGCACCCTTGGGGTGCATCCCATCTGCCCCCATGTACTTGCATACATCCAGCTTTTCTAAGTAGTCCCCAACCTGTTCTTTCACCACTGAGGGCTGCTCACCTCCTCCCCAAATTGTGCTGCTGGGTGCAGTAATCTTGGAGCTGACCTTGCCTGTGAAGACTGAGGTAAAAAAGCATTGAGCACTTCAGCCTTTTCTGCATCCTCTGTCACAAGTTGCCTCCCCATTTGGTAAGGGACCCACACTTTCTCTGATGCTCCTCTTGCTACCGACATATTTATAGGAACCCTTCTTGTTACTCTTCACATCCTTTGCTAGCTGCAATGCCAATTGTGCTTTGGCCTTCCTGGCTTCATCCCTGCTTATCCCTAATTATTTGTCCAAGTTTCCACTTCTTATAAATTTCCTTTTTTGTGAATTAGTTTACTGAAGAGTTCCCTGCTAAGCCAAGCTGGTCTTCTACAATACTTGCTAATCTTCCTGCACATTGGGCTCATTTGTTTCTGCACTCTCGGTAAGGCTTCATGTTGGGTATCTAAAGTTTGAGTCCTGTAAAGTTACTAATCAGTTTAGAAATCTTGTCCTTAATCTCTCTTTGCCTTAGTTCTGCAATTATAAAATGTCATTTCTATTCTACTAACATTTTCCTGCCCTGTCTATTTCTATTGTAAGACTTCAGGGCCAGGACACTCTCTTACTGTATGTGTATAGAACAGACATACTAGAGCTCCAGGCTTTATTGAGGCGCCTGCATGCTACCAGAATATTAATGTTAATAGAAATGATTAAAGTGAGTCATAGAAATATTGTGCAATATCATTTAGCATAAAAACAGAGCTGGATCACCATTCCTGTGCGGTATTATTCCCAGCATGTTGATCAGATATAGAGGTGAAGTATAGTTCTGCTTGTAATTTTCTTATTTCTAAGCTCAAAACTCTTGGAGGAAAAGGTTTCATCTTAGGACAAGGACTTGTAACCAAGGCTAATGGCTTATAGTTCAGGGTGGCCAACCTGTGGCATGAGCATTTAGGGAAGGGACAGGCAGCACAGAGTAGAAAGCACAAGGAGCAGAAACCAGAGCAGCAGCTTGGGTAGGAGAAAGGGATTGGAGTAGCACTTGGGGGTGTGGGGGTGCAGGGCTTATTTATGCCATGTCTGCTGAAAAGGTTAGCTTCCACTGATTTAGTGAATGTCCTGAGGATTGAAATGGTTGTAGCATCATTAAAACTGTAACTTCTGAAAATGAAAGTTAAGCTGTGGTCGCTTTTGCCTTTCCTTTCTTTAGGTAAACCTTAAAACCCCCTAGAATGTTGACTAAAAAGTAGAAAGCAATAAAATAATCCATGTGATTTAAACCAGAAGAAAGGATGAAGGATTGGACTATGTGGGAGATACTGTTGATCACAGAATGCCAACCAAATTTTCAGATACCAGCCACATAACAGGAGTTGTGACTTCTCTGCAATTCACAGAGTTGTAGTTGCCTATACCCCTGTAAGTATGCTTGAATGCTCCAAATGAAAAGTGCTAGTATGAAATCCAAGTGTACTGCTTACATATGGGCAATGACCTGCTGAGTACCCAGGGAACTTCAGGGTTCATGAATGTAGAGTAAATGCATCATTACCTCATTCTTAAATGTTCTGCTATCTTTACATTAAACTATGCATGGTTTTACTGTGGTAGTTAGCACCTACAGAATTTGAACCAAACTGTCTTCATTGAGATAGTTTGCCTAGGTACAGTCACAAGCAGAACTAAGACTCTGGATCTACAGGCAGTTCTATATGATTGTCTTTCCCTCCACAATCCTCCAAAATGTTTTCAGGTGAGGTGAGGAACAATTATAAATGAGACAGGTCATTCAGTTAAGAAAAAAGAACAGCTGGCTTCTATTTGCAGAAACTAATTACAGAGTGACAGAAAACGGTATGAAAAATAAAGTCTAAATGAATTCATTACCTACAGCGTTTTCAAAGAAAAAGCCCAGTGACTAATCCTTTTGCACACAGTGGGTCTGGTTCCTTCACATTTGTCACCACATGTAGGTAGAGCCACCTGGGCAAAGTGAGGACAGAGTGGGCTTAACATTTCTACCATTGTGATTTTGTACAAGACGGAGGTGAATCAGATTTAATGGAAACTGATCTTTCCACTGCTAAAACAAGGACAGGTGGATGCAGATTTTAGGTCAACTGATGCCTGGGGAACACAACCCAAATGTATTATAGTTCAATGCCTTTATATCAGCCACAGAGAAGGTGGAGACTGAATATGCTGACAGACGCTCAATTGCTTTGGATCCTTTCTTCAGTTGCTGTAGGGCAACAATACTGAAGATGAAAATGAGAGGGCTCACATGCAATCAGTGGAACTGGGGGCGCTGCACGAAGAAGCTAGAAGCCATAATTAGGTCCTTGCATTGTACTCCCTCTCCCGCTTCAAATTCTGTCTGCAATGGAATGGCAGTAAATGAACTCAGATGTCCCCACAAGACTGGAGAGGACAGAGATTTTGTCAGGGCAGCAGCCAAGTTTCATAATGTCTCAATCTCAGTTACTCTAAAGCCACTCTCTACTACCCCGGAGATGCAAAAAGGCCTTACAATGAGAGTAAGTTGCATGTAATTACATTTAATGCTACAACTTCAATAAGGGCAGAGGTTAGCCAATGCAGAGCACTTCAGAAAAATCCTATTCTCAGTCTCCAGGAGGGCACATCGTTCTTTGTACAGGTATTACGTATGCTCCACTCTGAGTTTGGCTGGCCTCACCAGCTGGTACAGAATGGGAGACTAAGGCCATGTCCTGTCCCCTCCTTTCAGATGTCAAGCACTGGCAATCTAGCTATATTCACATAAGTCCTCAGGGCAGGAGCATGCAGTGATGGGACTTACGATCTGATATTCTCTGTTCTCACTGGTACGTATTAAGTCTTTCCAATAAGGCACGGTCAACTTTAGAATATTTCTTCAAGATGATGGATAAATGTGCCAAAATTGCCTGTAATTTATAGGTCCATGGACAATTTTCAATCACACGGATTCCTTTTGTTTGCATGCTATCTATTGTACCTCACATGATGTTCTTTCTTTCTAACAACACTGCAGGAACTTCAATCAGGCTAACAGCAGCATTCAAAACTGACAAATTAATATTTTTCAGTACTGGACTAGGTAGGCTTACCTATAATAATAAACATCCAGATAAATTATGGCTTTAAAATACAATATGTACAGAAAGTTTAAATACAACATTCACTTTGTTAGCAAATGAAGGCATTGGCATTACGGAGTGCAATCTATCAAATACAATATGGTAGATGACTATATAGACCAAAAGGGCTTTAAAAATGTGCAGTAGACTAGGGATATTATTATGACTATTTCCATATTTTAAGAAAAGGAAATAAAGATTTAAAGATAGAGCTATTTGGAGAGTCAGAAGCACTCAGCTGCCTACCTCTCCTTGCCATATTGGATTGACGGTATTACACATGATCTTTGATCTCTTCTCCTGTCCATGGTGCGGAAGAGCAGGGAAGATGCTGTGCTTTCCAGGCTGGATAGAGATCTTCAGGTAAGGGTCTGGATTGAAGAACATCCCCTTCTTCAAACCAAAAGCTTGGAAGTCTGCAGAAAGTTAAACATTCTGATTAGTATCTTGTTGGTCTAATAAAAGGTATCACATCTACTATGAGCCCAGACTGGTTAGAATCTACATTACAATAGGCTCGCCAGGCAGTCAGGAGAACCATATAGGGAACCAGTGAGAAATTTAAAGGCATGGCAGGAATATACATGTTACAACAGGGGCAGGCAATTATTTTGGGCAGAGGGCCACTTACTGAGTTTTCGCAAGCCATCGAGGGCTGCATGACAGGCAGCAAGAGCCAGATAAATATTAATTTTCTAAATTTTTAGGGGCCCCCCAGGCCGGATAGAATGGCCTGGTGGGTCGCATCCATGTCACATTGCACAATTAACAGGTTAACTGCAGAATTGCCTGGAGACCAGTTACACGTGCAAAGTAGCTATCACACAATACAAAGCTGCAACCTGCTATAAAGTTAGACCTTGTAAATGTGTACTAATTTGTAGCTGGTTGCTATTGAGTTTTAATTTGCACATGTAGCAGGGTCTCCCCTGCAGCTGGGGGCCCTGTTAGCTGACAGGGCTTCCAGCTGCAGAGGCACACCATGCCTAGCATAACCTCTCCCCCCCAACCCTAGGGATTGGGGTGGCTGTGGCCCCCAGGGTCTTCACACACCCCTGAGCCCTATGGATTGTGTATGCTGTGATCCCTAGAGCTCAGGGGTGTATGAAACCCCTGGACCCTGGGAACATGGCTGCTGTGATCCCTAAGACTCAGAAGTTCATGATCCTCTGGCCCCAGGGTTTCCCTGCACCCCTGGGGTGGGAGGATCACCCCTGAAGTGATCCTGCAGCCCTGGGGGTGCATAGGACACCCCTGCAGCTGGGAGTCCCTCAACTGGGGTGCATGGAGCTACTAGCCACAGTACTTGCTTTTTGCCAGTACAGGGGCAGCCTGGGATTGGGCTTCCCTTGAACCAACAATAAGGTGTGAAGGGATCTAATGTGGGGTATGTGAATTAGATCCCATTGTGCCTTTATTTGCACGTGTAGAGGGGGCCATAGAAAAACTATATGGCATTACTTGGGTCAAAACATAAAACCAAATCATAACAGTCTCATAAAACTGATGATTTATAAGTTCTATAGTATTCACAAGAGTAAACACTAATCCTTGCATCTCCATCTCTCAATGGAGAAGATGAGAATTAGTCTGTAGCTCACTTTCCAGAGTAGGGGCCAGAATATATGCTACCTTCTGAACAGAAATCATCATCACAGTGTTGGCCATGCTGATTAGCCCCACTGTTAGTACCCTGGCAATGTGGCTACCCTGCTTCTGGTTTGGGGAAGCAGCATGCAATGTGGCATGGTTGAGCACATCTTGTTGCTTGGCACAAATTTTGGAGCTCCTGACTTGAATGAAGTAAATGCCAAAACTCCCAACTGATCTTAGTGGGACCAAAATTTCATCTTTTAGTCTTTGTTTCCCATTTTGTAAATATTTCCAAAGCTACTTTCTCAAAAAAACATTCTGAGATGACCTGTTCAAACTTTTGAAGGGTCTACCCACAGTCAGGATTCCACCACTTTCTGCAGACAATTGAATGATCAAGGATTGGCCAAAGCATCTGCTGAACACCCATCCCTAAGTTTCAGATGTTAGAATTTGCACAACAAGCATTTTAGAATTGCCTGTACAAAGTAATCACACTCAAAGTGCTTGCATGCTCATTTAATAATAGACCAGATATAATACCAAAGGAATTATCTAACAGCCAATCACAGGTAAGTTTGGACCTCAAATATTCATGATTCATCTACTGAGTAAAAACATTCTGAAATGAAATAATTAAGAAATTCAGAAAAGTCCTGATCTTGTCACAGCTATTTCAGAAACAGGAGACACTAAACTTGTCAGATAAACTTGTCATTACACACAATTCAATTTAAAGATTTATTTCATTTACATCACTACATTCAGTTAAGCTGTAGTACTTCAATTATACACTATCCGTTATAAATAATCTTGAGGTTCTCTGCACAGTCCAACTGGACCTGATTTAAGTCTCGTCTTTTCTGCATTTTTACAAGAGTTTCATTATACAACATTTAGGTTATTGCATTATTATTTCATTCTACAGAACTGTATTATATGATTGTATTATATGAAGATGAGGGCGGGGGAAGCCGTGGACACCAAACCATGTGGCACCCACAAGGACAGTCCAGCCTGAAGGAGAACATCGGGAACCTGCAATCCATGGGGCGGCCAGCAGTACACCACAGGTAAGCAATAAGGGGCCCTTTGGGCATCAGAGTGGGGGGGCAACAAAGGCACCAGTCACAGGGCTCAAGTGCCTATACACTAACGCTAGGAGCATAGGGAGCAAGCAGGATGAACTAGCACTCCTGCTCGCAGAATACATTTAGGATTTAGTAGGGCTAACAGAAACCTGGTGGGATCCTTCCCACGACTGGGTGGTACATATTGAGGGTTATAAGCTGTACAGAAAGGATAGAGTAGGCAAGAGAGGGGGAGGGGTGGTGCTCTATGTCAATGAGCGATATACATTGACCCTTATCAAAACGGAATCGGAGGAGGAGAAAGTAGAAGGATTGTGGGTTAGGTTACATGGAGGTCAAGGA